CTGTCCATGACATCAACCAAGATGTTAAAGAGCGCTAGTCCCAATACCGAACCATAAGGAATTCCGCTTGTCACTGGTCATCATTTGGACATTGAGCCATTGAACACAATTCTTTGAGTCAGACCATCCAGCCAATTCCATATCCACCAAGTGGCCCATCCATCAAATCCACATCTTTCCAATTTAGTGTCTAAGATGTCAAATGGGACAGTGTCAAATGCTTTGCACAAGTCCAGGTAGATGACGTCAATTGCTCTTTCCTTAACTCTGTTGTAGAAGATGACCACATTTCCAGTTTTCAGGAGGATCTACTCCATGAACTTATAGGCACAGAGGTGAGACTGACTGACCTGTAGTTTCCTGAGTCTTTCAGTTTTTAAAAATGGGGGCTATATTTCACCTTTAGTCAGTGGGAACTTCACAGGACTGCCATGACTTGTGAAATATGACGGATGGTGGCTTAGCTGCTTCATCTTCCAGTTCCCTCAGGACCTATGGATATATCTCATGAGGTTCCACGAACTTGTGCACCTTCAGGTTCATTACATGTCTTGAATCTGATCTTCTCCTTGCTGTGCACTCTCTTCACTGCCCTAAGGATCTAGAACTCTACCATTTCATGGTCAGTGCAGGCAAGGCTACCTTTGAGCTTCACATCTGTCTGTAGAGAGCCTCATTGTCTCAATGTTCCTGGTCTGGCAGTCCCTAGCAGAGCCCCTCTATAATGTCACTGTCCCTGCCATGCTTATAATCCTGGCCCATAAACTCCTAGTCAGCTCCTCATCCATCCCTAGGCAGAGCTTCATGCATTCCAGCTGCTCACTGACATACAGGGTGACCCCATCCTTGTCTACTCTGCCTGTCCTGCCTAAACAACCTGTATCCCCCCATTCCAACACTCTAGTCATAGGAGACATCCCACCATGTTTTCATGATACCAGTAATATCATAACCCTGCAGGTGTGTACACAACTCTAAATTCTCTTGTTTATTCCCCATGTTATATGCATTTGCATAGAGGCATTTAGGTTGGACCCTGATCACAGAATTACAGAATGGGTAAGGTCAGAAGGGACCACAGTAGGTCATCTGCTCCAACCTCCCTGTTCAAGCAGGGTCATCCTAGATCACATTGCTCAGGATTGCACCCAGATGATTCTTGAATATCTCCAGCGAGGGAGACTCCACAACCTCTCTGGGCAATCTGTTCCAGTCCTTGATCACCCATACAGTAAAGAAGTTTGTCCTCATGTTCATGTGGAACTTCCTGTGCATCAGTTTCTGCCCAGTGCCTCCTGTTCTATTGCTTGGCACCACCAAGAAGAGCCTGACTTCAACCTCTTGACACCCTCCCTTCAGACCAGTGATCCCTCCCCAGGTTCTGGGCATCTATTGCTGGCATTGGTATAAAATTAGTTGGAGTGGAATGGATTGAGATTCTCCTCACCTGGCAACTTTAGTTTAGAGCCCTCTTCACCCGGGCTTTTGGTCATCTTCTTTCAATAAGTCCTATATAAACCATGTTGTTCAGTTGATATAGCTCATCTGCCAACATTCTGTTTCTCTTGTCTCTCACACTGGACACCCAGACTCAAGGACTGCACCAAAAGCCATGGCCAGAGTCACCCAGTGAGGCAGACACAGCCCTTAGTAGCAGTGGTGGTTCTATGCATCCTCCGAGGCAGCCTTAGCCAGATAAAAACTGCACTTCGGCTTTCTTTATAGACTGGAGGAGTGGGAGGGTGAAATGCCTCCCGAGAATAATACAGTGTGAGCCTGGCTTTTAAATTGGCAAATATCTGTAAGCTCTAAGAAAGGCTGATGGTCTCTGTCTAACCAGAGGAAACTGCTGAGACTCGGAACTTTTCCTCTGTTTTGGCAGTGGCTTTGTCTCTCTGATTCACTTATTCCCTTTATAACCCTAAAAGCAAAGAGGTGCTGCCATCCCCACTCCTCAAATAGGGGCAGATATATTGTAATTTCTCCACCAGAGCCCCTTGGGATGTCTTTGGAAAAGCAGGGATTTTTTTGAGCTCTGGTCTCCTGAGCCCTGAGGGAAAGCATGAAAGCCTGGCTTTTTGTCAACTCCTTAACTGGGAGCATACCAGAAGAAATGAGGCAAAATACACCAACCCAGAAAGCTAAAACAGTGTCTCTCAAGTCTCTGAAGGCTCCTAGTTAGCAGTTACCTTTCAAAGGCTTATTTCAAAAGTAACTTATTATTTTACTAGCTGTTTGATAAGAGATCAAATAAAGCTAAGGTGACTGGTAAAGTATGTTCATATTTTATTTTGAAATCATTTGAGGAACTTGACTGGCTACTTTAAATTCTGGAGAGATCAGCTGAGTAGGAGTTTGGGCTGGGTGAAGCCAGCTAGGCAAGAGTTTTGCATGTGGTTTACAAAAGAGCTCGAGTAGGCTGAGATTCCAGGCTGATGAGATGGTCTCCACAATGACTACACTTCTTTTTCGGTAGAGAGCTCGGTACACTTGATGTGTAGGCTATAGGCATGAAAGAGGAGTTTATTTTCTGTAGCACTACAGGACTTGACTTCATGGATTTTTGTGGCAATTACTCCTGTGGCAATGATACCAGAATGCTGGTCACTGTTTGGCTCTAAGCTACAGAAATAATTATCAGACAACAAAGATGACAGCTTTTGGTCCAGGTTTGATCTGAACCAATGTCTTAGCAATGGGAAGTATCATATCTTGCTTCAAAACTTTGTCTGAGCTATAAAGTAATTCTCTACTTCTTGCCAAAGAGAAAAGGCTCAGGAGCTGACAGAAGGAGACCTGGTACTGTGGTCTAAAAAGAGCTCAATTCAGGTCATGACCCATTACCATTCAGTAACACTTCTGGGTTTCAGTGGTGCTCTGCCAAGCCATTATCTTTCCTTCCCAAATCTAAAGTTGTCTGCAAGAGCTGCTGCTTCACCAGTTTGACCAATGTGGGCCTCTGTGTTAGCCCAAATGCACATCCAGCTCAGGACGATCACGACCCTGACTTTAGTGGGAGCTGCTGCCTCTCGCTGACGATTACAGCAGGACTCATCCCACAGCCTGTGCTGTATCCCATCAGCACAGAGAGACACAGAGGCATGTCAGACCATGTGCCTGCAAAGCCACTGAGCCCTCCTCAGCGGCTGCTGCTGGTGGCTGCGGATGGCTGAGGTGCAGCACCAGGAGAGCAGGCAAAGGAGGCAAGCATTATTTCAAGGGTGGCAACAGAAATCTCTCTGTGCTCTGAGGAGGAGGAAAAAAAGTGAAGCATCTCAGAAATTCCTCTAAAGCTGCAGGGCTTGTTGCAGGGGGCTGGTCTGGAGATGAAATGGCCATGGTAGTTGAAAGAATCTTTGTGTTAAACAAAGAGTAAATTTGGTCCAAAAAATATAGGGAGAATTTCAGGAGACCTGAAACTATATTCACATTTGGAAGACTGTGCCTTCCTTCCATTTCCTTATTGTCAAAATGTCTTGAAAATCTCTAAGTGGTTTTTCTTCCTTTCCCCACTCCACCTCCAATTAGGAGTTTTAAATGGGAAATGCTGAAATGCTTCATTTCAAATCTTTCAAAATCAACCTTTTTGACATCTTTTAAAATACACTCGTAGATCTAAACTATTACTTCAGCTCAAAAAGGAGAGAAAATATGAGCCAATAAGCAATGAAATAAACTGAAAACACAATTTTTCAATTGGGGTTGAACAAACTCCTTGAATTCACCCTATTTTTCCTTTGTTTCTGTCTTTTTTTGAGCTTCAATTCCCCACACTTTCAGTTTGTTTGACCCTTTTTTTTAACATTTCTATTACACATTCCTAGTTTAGTTTTTCATTTATTTAAATATTAATGAAAGAACAGCAGTTAGACATTAATCTTATGTCTTCATCAAACCAATCAGCCATTCTAACATAAACTGCCTTTGAGGTTGAGGGAACAGGAGAAAGTATTCCCTACAGAAAAAGAATTACAGAAATTACGGACAGAAAGCTCCTACTTGGGAAATGAGTCAGTCTGCTGCTGTCTAGCAGAAAAGATCAGCATGAAAGTACAGAGGCTTTAGAAAAACCTTACGAATTTACAGCTTGCAAAGTAAATGAATTCTCAGTGTCTCTCATACACACACACTAACTCGTTCCCCACACATGCATACATGCTGGTTTCTGGTGGAAAGACAGGGAATGTGCAGCATGCAACGCACATGAACTTTCTGCTTAGCAGAGAAAAGATCTGGTGGAAAGACAGGGAATGTGCAGCCTGCAACGCACATGAACTTTCTGCATAGCAGAGAAAAAATTTTTTTCAATAGGCAAAAAAATCCCACCCCCTCAGCACCCCTCCTTCCCCTGTGTCTGACACTGACTTCAAGGGAGGAGTTGAGCCAATTATCTGTGAGTCCTACAGAAGGAAAATCTGCAATTTGCCAGTAGTTGTGAGAGCGAGAGGGAGAAAGGCAGGGAGAGAAGAGGAAATACTTAATTGGCAAATGTAAAGAAAAGCCTCTTCTGTCCTAGAAAGAGAATATTTTAAAGCAAATCTCAGACTAGAAGAAAAGAAGCTCGTTGGGAGGGATGTGCCAGGCAAGACCTGGGGAGGCATAGGCTGACTATAGACAACTTCTATTCCCTCACTAATCTTTCCCCATAGGGTCTGAGGCAGCATAGGGTGGGCCAGCTGGATGCACCCACTACCTTGCATGACTAGGTGTTGCTCCTGAAATTCTTTTTCCCCAGCAGAGCCTACGAAGCACAACTTGCAAGAAAAGACAGTGGGAGTGGGAGAGACTCTGCCTCTGCTTTTCTCGAACTGAGGCTGTGAGGAAAAGAGCTCTTCTCACCAAAGGGAAAAGCTGTCACTGGTTCTGAGACCTTTCTTTAGCCCATGCCAGTTGCCTGATCCAGTACTTAACATCCATGGGGGAATGACCTCTGAAGCCCCGTGGTCCTTCCCAATCCTGCTAAGTTCTTGGGAAATACTGGAGAAGAACTGAGCCCAGAACAAACAACGTGGGATCCACTGAACAACAGCCTTTTACAGCAGCAGCCACCTCTGATTAAAATTGTCAGCTTCATCAGACTGCACCAAGACCCAGGACTGCTCCCCTGAGGGAAGAGAGGTAAGAAAGCAGAATGGAGTTTGGGATGAAAGTAGGAAACAAACATCCCACGGGAGTGATTTTGGTGTGCATGAAAATTACAGGGACACTAGTAGTGATTAACAAGTGGCAGGTCTGTTATGCATGATACAGTCTGTGTGTGCCTGTGTTGTTTTCTGCTGGGTGCAGTGATTAACATTGGGGTAGCAAACAGAGACACAAGCAGTAGCTGAAGACGGAGGAGTGGAAGAGATGTAGTTCAGAAGTCTATTCATGGATGTGGAATGGTAGGGACCATAACACGCTGAAGGGAATACAGAAAACTAAAGTGCAATAGCCCTAGGCATATTGAATGAAGAATATCTTCCTCAGATATCTCTCTCTGGGTGCTCAGGATCACATTTGTCAGTACCTCACCAGAATACAGACAAGTGCTCCTCAGAGCACACAAAAGCAGGTTCATTGCATACACTCTGATGCCTGCCTGTGAAAAGAGTAGTGGTGGTCAGCAGGTAGAAGATGACACAGGGAGTCAAGAGAAATGAGGCTTAATGTGGATTTTGAACCGCCGTTTCAGGTCTCTCTGGACATATCAGCCTTTCCCATTATTAAGTGGAGATAACATTCATTACCTATATTTCTTTGACATTTTGAAATCCCTACACTGTACCAATATAAAATACTAATGTAAACTTTCTGGCATCAAGCAGAAGGTACAACTGGGAATTAATCTATGCTTAAGCATTTAATAAAGTGGAAGGAAAAGATGTAGATTAAAGCCAGCTGGAGTTTTTTCGTTTCCTCGTTCTCTTCTGATTGATTTTGCTTTACTTAGTACATGAACATGTGGTGTCTCTCTGTTTCCTTTCTTCTGCTTTTAATCTTTTTCAATGTATGAGTCCCTGTGCTCCCTCCTGCCACCCCTGGGTGTGAAGGCTGAAGATTCCTTCCTTTTCTGAGGAGGAAAGAAGGCAGATTGTGTTTAACTGGAGAAAAACTGGTGTAAGGGGATAAAAAGAGAGGGCACAAAACACAAGTATTAAGCTCCCAGTTCAATGGCATGCTCTGAGTCACATTTACAGTCAAGGTGATGAGTAGTAACTCCACAAATTAAAGTAAAAAGCATCTTTTGACTTTGAATGCAATAAAATGCAGTTAAGAAGGCACAGGAGTCCTCTTGACCGAATGTCTTGATGGGTGGAACAAGGACAGCGTAAAGTGATCAGGTCCCTCAGCACACGTGTTCTGTACAGGACATACAAGACATTTGCTTAAAATGGGTAACTGTGCTTGCTCCCAGATGTTTTTGCCCCGAGTTTTATGAAACTGATCTGTAGCAGGTGTAAACCAACACAGTTCACTTGTCCTCATGCAGCTATGCTGATCCATCTCAGCCTGAAGAGCTGACTCATTTCTGGATACTGATCCTGGGCTGTAAAGAAGTTTGCAGTTTTTCTCATTAATGTATCTCCCCGCTTTCCTCTGCCAAATAAGTAAGCCTGAGAGGGTGAAAGGAGGCATCATTTGTTTGCCCATGGGTGCAAGACAGTATTGGGCCGGCTACATAGGAAAGGGCAAAGACAGTGTACACGGCAGTGTTGTGTCAGAGACTGAATATGGTGTTTCTGCACTGTTGGAGGTAGGTCCTGTTGTAAATAAAACACAGAGTCCAGACCAAATACCAGATGTGCTCCTTGCTGTCATTCCTGCCACAGCAATCCCAACAGTACCATAACTCTGCATGTGTGTGTCCATCCAAAGTTGTGTTCTGACATTACTGTCTGGCTCTAATATTATGCTGTTCTGCCTGCTGAAAACAATGCAGAGTGTAAGCTACTCTGAGGATAGCATTGCATTTTCTTTTGTGCTTTGGGTAGGGCTGAACCTGCTGTTGTTGTGCAGCAAATTATAGCAGTAATAATAAATAGTCATGTTTAGCTGTTGCCTTGGGCTATAGAACAGCACTTGTAATGATGTTGGATGAGAATTCCAGAGACTTCTTTATTTAGCAGTGACCACATCTTCACTGCTTCTTTGGTGCTTAGCACATGTTAAACAAATCCAAAAATTTTAAGCTCTTGACTGAGATGATTGTCAGCTACATAAAAGCTTGGGAGATAAAATTCACTGGGGTGAAAGATAGGAATCCAGATCTGGACCCAGAAATGGTCTTTCAGTATACATAAAGTATTTTGATTGCAATATTAAATAAACAACACCTAAGTCAAATAAACGGCACAGTGGGAACTTGATTATTCTTTAATAAGATCCTAGTAACCAAAATAAACTCTGTCCAAATTGTGCCTTCTTTGCTCTAACAGTCACCTTTCCCCACACAAGGGTTGTATTTTTCCTTTCAGCACTCAATTCATTTGAACTGGTACATGAAAAATGTCTGAGCAGCACTTTTTTTTTCCCTATCAAAGTTTTCTGCATCTGAGAGCTATGTCAGCATATCTCCAAGGTCTCAAGACTCATTTTAAATGCCAGAGGTTGGCAATCTTGGTTAATAGCTATTTAAGATGGCTGTCCTTCATCTTTCTCCTGCACCCGCAAAGACTGTGACACCCACAACAGCTGTGTATGGGGAAAGACTGAAGCTCCTACCAAATCTACCCTTCTGCAGTTCCACCCATTGCCAGCCATCCTGCTGCAATGCTGATAGTTTGCTGATAGGGAGTTCCCACACAACCAGTCCAAACAGCAAGATTAAATTCTGTTTTCTAAAAGGTGACTGAAGGCACAAATCTTTGAATTTATCACGGGGTAGTGTGGTCAAACAATGCAGGGATCAAACTTCCTGCATCAGCAATGAAGATTGCATGGGACCAGCTATTTAAAGCTTCTGAGATGTCTAGCTTGCACTGATGTTTTAAGCATGTTTCTTTTCTTTTCTGTCTGACTTTTGGTTGATCTCAGAAAACAAATGTTATGTGCAGCTCCTATTTAGGCAACCAAACGGAGCAATCTAGGTCCTAATGGCAGCTGCAGTGGATGTAACGTATTGGGGGAATCTGACCTCTGTGTTCATGTATCTAAATGAGAACCAAGCTCTAGTGAAAAAAACCTGGTAATGTGTAAGTGATGCAGATGGTAGAAAGGAACCTGGTGTCCAAGCTGAAGCACAGCTGATAAATTTAGCTCTTGATGTTGAAATGAAGCAGCAAATCACAGTTCAAAAGCATGTTATTTCCAGTGTAAATGCCTTCATTTTTATATTACTTTAAAAGAAAAGAAAAAAACCACCGTCACTGCCACCACCAAAACCCAAATCACAACACTCCCTGGAAATGAGACTGAAAAAGTTGAAGCATTTCCAGTGGAAAGATTTCTGTATGGACCATAGGTCTACTAACAAGGGCTATGTTCCAGAGCACTCTTTGACAAGCTTGTGCCAAGGAGGTGCCCTGTTTTATCCTCCATGTAGTTTCTGAGCTTTCCTCCAACTCTGCTAATTTCCTCTTTCAGGACCAAGCAATGATGAAGACTATGTCTGGTGGGAACTGCACCCTGAATGTGCCAGCCAAGAACTCGTACCGCATGGTAGTGCTGGGAGCCTCCAGGGTGGGGAAAAGCTCCATCGTCTCCCGCTTCCTCAACGGCCGGTTTGAGGATGCATACACTCCGACCATAGAGGATTTTCATCGCAAGGTCTACAACATCCGGGGGGACATGTATCAGCTGGACATCCTGGACACCTCTGGGAATCACCCTTTTCCTGCTATGAGGAGGCTTTCCATCCTGACAGGTGCGAAAGTGGGGGAAGGTTGGCAGATGGGGAATGGCAAGGGAAAGGGGGAAGTCAGCAGATGGCTAACAGTGGGCGAAAGATCCTAAGGAAAGATGTTAGCTTGAAAAGTGTAGCCTGGAGACAACTGTTTCTTGGGAGGTAACTAAAGGGACTGCTTGATTTTGTTGCAAGATGCGCTTTTGTAGAGAGGTATTTCCTGATTCGGATGCTCTTAGCACTATAAGGAATGCATTAGCCACAGAGGAGAAGTTCACTGGGCCAAGGTCTGAAACTGAGATTTCCCCTTGTCCTACCTTCCCCTCCTGATTCGTAGTTTTTATTGCAGGCACAAATAATAGCTGAATGAAATCTAGTGGGCAGAAAGAGCAGCAAAGGGCAAAAAAGCATGTTATTATACGACACATGCAGTGAAAAACAGATGTAAAAAGCACAGGAAGGGAATTCTAACCAAGAAAAACCTAAAGATTTCTTTATTGCTAAAATTTCCAGCCTGATTTCCTTGATTTGATATTCCAGTAAAAAGATAGCTCTCCTTTTACCCTCTCTCCTTAGTCTGTGGTTAATCAAATGCATTAAAGCAGAAAAAAAGCAAAATTATAGGCTAATTTTTTATGCTCTCCCTGTTAAGCAGTTCCTATTGTGAGCTGAAATATATTCTCTAATTGTAAAAGTGGCAGTAGAGATATATCCAACCCCAGTTGACAACAAACCTGCTTTCTGGATTCTCTGTCTACCCATCTAGCTGCCCAGTGAAACGGCATTCACATCTGACCAGGCTAGAATCCACATTCATTGAGGTCCTTAGACCAGTTTCTGGGATGCAAACGTGAACTTTTGTCCTTGAAAGCTCACTTATCATGTCCCACATGAATCTCATTCAACAGGCAACGATTTGCCTTATTTTCTGTTTGCAAAAGGAATTGTAAGTCAGGAAATGTCAAAAGGAAATGTCAGGGGATCTGTGTCATTTATGTATTTCTTTTTTTGCATGGTCTGTTTCTCTTGAGTAAATGCAATGACAGCAGAGCACTGCACACCGAGAAACCTCTCATCCTGACTTAGGTGTTTGGGACTGACTAGCTGTAAATCTTTAGTTCAGGTGTTGCTTTGTGTACTGTGTAATCAAAAGGCCAAGGCTGAGTGGCTACTAGCTCTCCACTTTTCCTGCTGTCAGAACAGGATGTGTTTTACATGGAGATACAAATGAAAGGAATCAAAAAGAAGTGCAATGCAGCAGAGCTAAGATAGAAACATGTTTACAAAAGAGAGCAAAATAGACTATAACTAGCAAGCCCAGTGCAAACCAAGGATGCAATTGCATGTGACTAAAGTAATATCATATCCAAAAGTCTTTTCCATGGCACTACAGAAAGGTGTAGGGAGTTGAATTAGAAGAGCTAATGTACAGCTGAGCGAATATATGCCAAAGGACCAAACAAAAAATGTGGGGAGGAGATGGCAAATAAACCTATTGCTTTTTAAATATTTGCTCTTCTCACACTGGCTGTGACCAACAAGCCTTTGCAGTATCTGTTTTTAATTGCAGGGGATGTGTTCATCCTGGTATTCAGCCTGGACAATAGAGAATCATTTGATGAGGTCAAACGGCTCCAGAAACAGATCCTTGAGGTCAAATCCTGCCTGAAGAACAAAACCAAGGAATCAGCTGACCTCCCCATGGTGATCTGTGGTAACAAAAATGACCACAGTGAAATCTTCCGCAAGGTGCGCACTGATGAAGGTGAGAATCTTGTCTCCAGCGATGAAAACTGCGCTTACTTTGAAGTGTCAGCCAAGAAGAACACCAATGTGGATGAGATGTTCTATGTCCTCTTCAGCATGGCCAAGCTACCTCATGAGATGAGCCCTTCCCTTCACAGGAAAATCTCCATCCAGTATGGTGACACTTTCCAACCGAAATCCTTCCGGATGCGCCGAGTCAAGGACATGGATGCCTATGGCATGATCTCACCCTTTGCTCGCCGGCCAAGTGTCAACAGTGACCTGAAGTATATCAAATCAAAAGTTCTCAGGGAAGGTCAGTCCAGGGAGAGGGAGAAATGCACGATCCAGTGAAGAGGGTTTGCGCTTCTGTCTGAAGTCATCATCCACTTGCAGTGCCTTAAAGAAGAAATGGTCCGTGGAAGCACAGAATGGGCTCATGGGGTTTATTGAGAAAACCCAATGTGAAGAAAGGATAACTCTTCCTGTGGATTCTGCTGAGTCACAGATGTAAATAACATCATCCTTGAAAATGACTGGGGAAAAGCATATGCCTGAGATACAAGTGCATTTTTTGGGCTTTGTAATGTAGTTCCTCTTCATTCCCCTTTTTGTTTAAAGAATACAGGCCTGAGAAGTAGACATTTCAACCTCATCCTCACAAAGAAAATAGGTCAAAAATGCACAGAAGGCATGAACAGTTACTCAGCATGCAGCTCTTGATAAGAGAGGAGGTTACGTGTGTGTGTATCTCTGTGTGCCTGTGTGTACGTGTGCATGCATGTGTGGAGCTCTCCTTTTAAAAAGTGGATCTTGCATTTCAAAGGGCAGCAGTCTTACCTGAGGTTTCCCAGATTGGGAGTGGACTCTATATGCAGATGCATGACTTCCACTTGCTTCCAAGAGCACCTCCATCAAGAAGGACTTGATTTTATGTTTGTTAGGACAGTTACCATTTGATGTCGACATGAATGTTGGTTTGTATTATAGATTTTATTTGAGATTTGGGGTTTTTTTATTGTCTGGGGGTGGGTTCTTAGCAAAATCACATGGCAAGTGTTTTTGATATTAAACAGTGTCTACTTTCTACCAGTGAAAGGCGGTTTTCGTCTGTAAAATTTCTAGTATGTACATTGATTGAAAGTGAAACTATTCTGCAAAAAGCCAATGCATTTGACTCCTTTGCAATCCTGGTGTGATATCATTTCTCAAAGCATCCACACCAGCTCTAAGTACCCTAGTACAATTGCCACCCTTTGCCTTGCTGGCCACTGGAGTAATGATTCCTTCCTCTGCCTGTATCAGCTGAGAGTGACCAGATTCATATGTAGGCTTAGACCACTTCAGAGGCAGGATTGGGTTGTTTTTCAAAATTAAGAACTGAATGGTTACAGGGCCAGCTCCATCATATTTCTTCTGTTAACATGCCTCTAGTCATTTTGTACATGGTTTCCCCTGTTGTCTGATAAGGATTGCCTTGATGGAAATCTTTGCACTGCAGAAGTCCTACCAAACAGAAACTTTGTGCTGGCTGTCCAAACAGGGCTGAACTGGCTGGCCAGATAAATCTGGGGTTGTCAATCACTTCTTTCCTTTCTCAGCCCAGTACAGGCTTCCTTGTCTTCAGCTCTCACCCTGTTCTGCTTCTGGCTCTGTTGTTTGATGTGCTCCTGTATGACCTCAAAGCCCAATATATTCTCTCAAATGTGAGCTTTCCACTCGCACTGACTGGAATGAGATGTGTGCACACATATCTGTGAGCAAAACATAGCCTCAAGACTGTACACAACAGTAGAATATATATGTTATATATACCTCAGAATGACCTTCAGATATATTGTCTCTCCTCCATCCTCAGATTCTGTTCTTGGCTGTATCTGCCTTGCTGTGTCCTGGGCAGAGCTGTGAGCTAGTTCATGCTATAATTTGACAGGAAACCAAGAATTATGATTGTCTGTAAAAATTAGCCTCTGGGACTCAAAATCCCATATTCATTTATCAGCTCCACCCTTCATTGGTACTGTATATTGACTGGTAAAATACACTGTTCTTTTATTCCTGTTGCCAGGGCAGCACCTTCCCAATCACATCTCCCTCCCTATCTATAAATATGTACATGGTTTATGATTAAACCTGATTTATTTATTAGCTGTGTCCTGATCTTTTTTACTTTCACCAAGAATAATGAGGAAGGTCCTATTTTTATGTTGTGCAGGTGCATCTAGGCAAGTGAATTCTTGGTTGAGAATCCTGATGGGGTCTGCTGTAAGGTCGCGTTTTATATCCTCCAGACACAAAGGGTTGCACATCTGCCTGTTTGGAACAGAACTGTGTCTATCTCTACGTCTATCTATCTATCTATCTATCTATCTATCTATCTATCTATCTATTATTTATTTGAACATTAACTTATATATGCATATATCTGCAGAAGCAGAGTTACTCTTCCCCATGCTGCCTCCAACATGAGAGAACAACTTCGTCCTTCAGGCACAGAGCTGACATGTTGATCCCTGATGAGATTTAATGTGGTCTCTGCAGAGACATCACTGTTTATCTCAGCAGTCTCTCCATCTTACCATCTGCACCTCCCAACTCTATGAGTCCTGGTTCCCCTGAGCACATGCTCTCCTCTCCACAAACTGTCCACCCAAGAATATGACTATGAATCAAGCTCTGGGACTCATGTGCCACAAGGACATGGAGTGGGGGTGAAGATGGAGAAAGAAGGACAAGTAGTGGACATTGGTTGGGTTAAGGGGCTCTGGGAAGCTAAATGAGAACTCCTTGCACTATAGACCATGTTCTCCCTGGTCTGCTGGATCAAGCTGAATTTTTTAAGAACCTCCTTAACCATCAAGTCTCTGCCTTTCTCTTGCAACATTGTCCTTTTTTTCCCTACTGTCCTTTCATCTCCACTACACC